TGCTCCACCGAATAGAATGAGAACAAATAGATACCGAACACATAAAACGAGTGTATATTAGATGTTTGCAGCTTTTATGACCATCGAAGAGTGCCACTTAATAAACGGAGTGATCTCATCTCGGACGGCATGCAACAAGTTATTTTTTAACACTAGAAAATAATTACGCAACAGTTGTACAGCGATTCGAAAGTGTGTTATTTTATTTATTCAACGAAACCGAAAGTTGCGGCCGGCGACGAAGAAAAGCAGGCAATCGGGTTCGTAAAGGTCTGTCAATACGTGTTGACATATTTTTTCTGCACTTTAAATGCAAATATACTTAAATATATGAATTAAACGGGTACGTAATTTATTGAGATTGAGATAATTTTCACAACCAAGTTCTTACGTGCATGTGTTGTCACTTTGAGACTTATACAGGGTGTGGCATAATGTAATGCCAAAAAGAAAGGGTGTATTCCTTGACCAGATTTAATAATATTGATGCTAAGAAAAAGATAGCTGAACTATTTTGAATTCAGTTACTAACGATAAATTTAAATTAGGACGATGACGAACATAATGTGGGCTGACATAAACAAGTTATTTGCATTTTTGTTGTCTACAAAGCAGTTGATACTTTGTTTCTGATATACAGGGGTCGGCATAAGTCAGGTAACCAATTTGCATTAAGAGCATTAATTTTCATTCTGAAAACGCGTCTACTCGACGAGCACGTGTTATCATATTCATGACACAGACACAACTGTCTGAAGCACGAACATGCTTCGTTTTAATATTTTTCGACAGCGTTGCCAGACTTATGAGCGTTGCCGGACTTATGCCGATTTTTTGAGAGCGTTGCCTGACTTATGTCGACCCCTGTATAAGACCGACATTTTCAGTAAGCTTTTCATTTCAATTATAAAACTGTCACCTTCTGAAAATGTAAATACTAACATCTCCTAAGTCGAGCAGTTTACAATAACGTATTAATCATTGTTATTTATGGCTTTAAAAATATTTAAAATTTTTAGCTTTGAATTTGGATTTTGTGCAGAGGTTAAACATTAATTAGTAACGTAATTGTAAGTATTTTGATGGTCCTACTGGTTTATCAATAAAAAAGTAGATTGCTGTAATTATCTATTTATGGAATATTTATTATTTATTTTAAATTAATTTGAGCCACAGAAATCCCCAATTGAGTAAGAAAAAGTAAAACAATAAATTGTATATTATACAGTGAGCGGCAAAAGTATGGAATATATTTATTTAAAAATCAGATGTTCGTTATTTGAAAAATCGCTCGGACCCGTCGAATTATATTTTTAGTTGCGCATTTTCTGAAGCAATTTTCATTTATACAGGCTGACCCAAAAAAAATTATAAAATCAAGGCCAACTTTTTTAAATGGAAACCCCACTTTTTTGTATTTTTATTCAATTCTCCATGGAATTCTGATCATTTTTTATGTGCCGAAAATATACTGTCGAGAAAACCAATTTATCCTTAGTAATACACACTACTTAAGGAGCTAATTCCAACATAAGAAAAAAAAAACGTCAAATAAACATACGTCCTACAATTCCCCTTCTCTTTGACATTGAAATTTGTTGAAAATTTAACAGTATGACCACTTTCAAATGGAAATGTGCCCGTAAAAATGTATTTATTTGCAGTTAATTGTTTCTTTTTAAAAATAGAGCTTAAAAATTAAGTTTATATCACATAAATTTAAATTTATTTTCGGTTATCAAGGCTTACTTTTTATATGGTTAGCTATTCTTTTTATCATTGGTGTCAACATTTTGTTTATTTAATTTATTTATAATTCGATTAGTTGCTAACCCCGTTTAGGAAGACCGGAAACGATAAAACCTTTATTATAAATTTTACAATGAGCAACATTTTTTCTTGAAATTTTACGAACCATATTGGGAGGGTGCACTATCCAGTGGTAGTCACAATCTGAATAAAAAATTCATTAACCAATTTTTGTCAAATTTGACAACAAAACAATAATAAAAGTTAATCTTATATCGGAAAATAAATTCAAATGTTATGTAATAGAATTTTTTGAACTCAATCTTTCAAAAAAATCCTCAAACCAGAAGAATATTTTCATTAGAAATAGGTCATATTGTAAAGTGTCATACATATACAGGGTTAATTCATTCAAAAATTAAAAAATGAATTGGTTATAGGTTAAATACAATTACGGGAATTTTTCAAATTGGGAATACTTAACAATTTTATCACAAACTCGGCAGAAAAACGAAATTAAAATAAAATTCAAAATACTGCAAATACAGTACATTTTGCGTATACAGGGTGATCCAGATGTTAACAGACAAATTTAGTAAAAGTACTAAACAACAAATATTAACATCACTTTGCTCTATGAACATAGGCGTAAAAAGCCACCATTTATGAGATACAGGGCGTTGATATTATTAAAAATAAAATAATTTTTTTAAATATCTGGAGAACCACTTCATCAAATTTATTCAAATTTGCTACACATTTTTTCTCAAATATTTCTCCTGGTTCTGTATGCACATAGTCCAAATTCAAGAACCAGTGGCGGAGAAACAGGAATGTAGTTTCCTTATTTAAAGTAAAACTTCTACACTACTGATTTAATTGGTAATATAAAAACATTTTATAACGGTCTGGAACATTCCGGACGAAAAAACATTATTTTATTTTTGTCGAAAAGTGAATAGTTTACGTGTTATGATACATATTATTCAAGTAAACAAAGCGTTGAAATCGGGAAAAATAAAACAAATTTGGATGGTCTAGATTTTAATAGACAAACTTCGGGAAAGTACTAAACAACAAAAATTAACATCACTTTGCTCTATGAACATAGGCGCAGAAAGCCACCGTTTATGAGATACGGGGAGGTGAAATTAACAAATATGAACCAATTTTTATATCTGGAAAACCACTTAACCAATTAATTCAGTGGCGTAGAAGTTTTACTTTGAATAAGGAAACGACATCCTTGTTTCCCCGCCACTGGTTTTTGAATTTGGAATGTGTGTATACAGAACTAGGAGAAATATTTAAAAAAAATGTGTGTTCATAGAGCAAAGTGATGTTAATATTTGTTGTTTAGTACTTTCTCGAAGTTTGTCTTTTAAAATCTCGACCACACTGAAAGAAATGGGCTTATTAAACTGTTTATCTAGAAAAATGTATATAGCGCATATTAAAACTTTTATAATCAATATACATTATTAGGTGTTTTTAGACTTTATATTCCAGTTGTATAGTAGGGAAGATTTGTTGTATAAAGACCAGTATTATTAACAGAATTATTCGTCCTTATACTGAATATGTTTCCGTTTTTAACGTGTAAACCGCATCTTATAATGGTTAAGTGATCGTCACCTCTCGGTGCATAATCGGTTATGATCGTTGTTAAGTTATATTCATAGTCTTGTAATAATAATCATTATTACAAGACGAGAGCGAAGTGCGCCGACTTAATAAGAAACCTGGCTATTCCAGACGCTATGCATGAAGCAGAACGGTACTCAACTATCTTATACAGTCCACTTTTATTGTCCATACATGTTCAATCATTGTCAAAATAAACACACAAAACCACAACGTCTTTATTATTTTTACTCAAGAAGAGAAAATACAACAATCGTAAAATTTCCGACAGTCCGCTGTGCATCGACTTACACCACGTCTAGTTTGATGAAAATGGACAGTATATGCACATGTTTTGTGGGATACATGATCATATCGCGTTGTGTGAAATGGAAAATTATTATGTAAGTATCTAACTGTTTTATGGCTTGTAATTGTTTTGTTTTTTCAAATGTAAATCTTGTCTAAATCTTAAAAATTATTATTTTGTAGGTCCTATTAGAAATCGCTGATGTTAAGTTTTCCATAAGATGGAGGAACAGAAGGTTAACTAACGGTGACAAAGAAGAGCATGGGTATAAAGTCAATCAACCAGAGGAAATAAAATTATATGGAAAGAAGCTCAACCTTTCTGGGGATGCTTCATTCTTAAGGCGGAAGAGTTATAGTGCAAATTCTCATGTAATACAAGAAAATACGGGTGCATCGTTGCTAAGAAAATAAACTGGACAGTTTTGGGAGCGATTTGTCATCATTTTTAATGCTTACAAGTATGTTTTATGTATGTTTACATTAGAACCTTAGCTTGTAATTACAGTTATCCAATAAAATTTCTGAAAACTTAATGACATATGTTTTTAACTCATACAGAGTATACAACAGTTTAATACATTTATTATTATAAAACTTATAACCAGTTGATGTTCTAATAACGATATGGAACACTTTAATAACAGTTATTGCTATTATTCGTAAAGGGTATAAAAAACGTTGTATACTAGTTATACAATAATTTAATATAGAATAAGGTTTATAGTCACTATACAAATGTGCTAGCAATACGCGTTTTATATCCAATATTCACCTGTTTAACTGTCACATATAGTATACAATGGTCTTATAATGGTATATAGAATTCTAATAAAGAATAAAACGCATTTCTCTCAGTGCACCCTCTATAATGTAATAAACATTTTATCGGCGAAACTTCAAGATTTTCCAATAGCAGAATAGAAGAACATCGAACATTATTCAAGGGAATAAAATATTTTAGGAAAACAATTCAGTAAAAAGAAAAGTAAAAGTTATTTTTAGAAACGGTAGTGGATGTGGTTTAAAACAAAAAAAAACTGTCATATCAGAGAGTTTTTGCAACGTTAATGACTTCTCATACGTTAAAGTGCTGGTAGGTATGCAATTTGAACAAATATCTACTTTCTCAGTGCGAAACATTTTTAGCTAAGCAAAACTAAGTTTATCCCTTGACTGCTCATTTTGATGCTATAAAAAATCACTGAATATTGTTCACAGCTTTGATAACGGTGGTAAAATTCTATGAAACATAAAAAATATTAATTTTATAAAAGCAGTTAGCTTAGTGGTTTTTGCGAAAGAATTTGCGCTCCTACCAGAATAGTTACCCAAAACATTCAATAACGTGAAATTCGCACACCCGGTATGCGAACACTAACGCCCAACTTAACAGCGTCCCCCTTGAAATGCACTCGAAATTATCCGCACTGCACTCACCACAAACAGATAATCCTCACTCCGGCGGCTCGCGACGATGTCTTCCCCGAAAATAATAGGATTAATTAGTGCAAATGGTAGACTTCCACGCACAATGCCTCGATCCGTTCGCAGACAAAGGCTCAGCCCTCGAATGTACTCGCCCAGATAAGCCGCATCGCGACACACTGCACCTCCGCCGACGATATGGCGGCCGTATGCACTTGGGGCGCGGAGTTTATGCATATGTTGATGTCTGGATGTGCGGCCGAGTGACAGTTCGGTGGGATTTTGCCTTAGCGCGCGGCCACTACTTAAAATAACTCGGTAATTCTCATTGCAGCGACGTCGCGGCCAGACCCCGCGTTTGTTTACTTAACGCTATGCGTGGACTCGAAGAGGAACTTAATAAGCCCCAATTGGCGTTCGGCTGGCCGGTGGTTAACGACTCTTGGGCGCGTGGTCGCGGGGTGACTCATCAAGGAACCATTTCCTTCCGGTTCAAGGCGAGCCGATAAGCCAGAGGAATTTGTTGACAAAATAATCGATACTTATTGGATAAACGCAAAATAAAATAAGTCGAACACTCTGTATACTTAGCACGTGTTAATGGTGTTTATAGTCCTAAGTTAAAGCTTGCTCCAGCGAAGCCGACGCCGTGGCTAAATACGCTGATCAGCAGAAATGCTTATACAGGGTGTCTCATAATTAGCTGCCAACCCTGAACAGCCCGATTCTATGATCAATACTAAATAAAAAAGTTCATATGAACATGGGTCCGGAAATGCTTCCTAAGGGCACCGGGACCCATTTAAGAGGGAGGAATGGAAATCATTTTTTTGCAATATCTCTCAATCGCGTTGTGATAAATGAATGAAATTTGGTATACACAGCTAAATTTTGATGAGCAATTTGATGGACTAATCCATTTATTTCCACAAGGTCCATTGGGGTGGGTACGGGGGGGCCCTTGGTACTTTGCGTGTGTAACTTTTTCATCTTTGACTTTTTAACAAATTGGACAGCAAATTCCGTTTTCCCGAACTGTTTTACGTTAAAAAGGTACTCTTGTTTCAAATCGTTATCTTTAACGGTTTCTGAGAAAATCGCTCTTGAATTAATCCCACTTTGGTCAATTTCATAGTAATTTAAACAAAAAAAAATAATAATAATTTAATACGTAATCAGTAATACACATTATTGATGTAGAACAATTATGATATGATGATTTGTTTATGGCTTTTGCGATGGTAATGCTGCGCGGCAGAACGCGAGTACGGCAGAAGGTTTCCAAACAGAAGGCTGACATCAAGGAGGACATTCCTCACTGTATTCCGCAATTTAGCTGCAACCGTCACTTTTCGAAGGGATCATAAGATGGAAACTTAATTTTGATAACAGACAACAAGCTATTTTAAAAACTGTTCAAAAAACCCTCCACCTTCTCTGATACAAAGTCTTGCCCTACGTGTAACACTTCTCGAAGCTATTAAGATGCTAAAACGGTTTTGACGAATTTCATTGGCTGCATCATTGATACGCTGCAGCAATTCCTCACGGGTATCGACTTCGGTGGCGTAAACTTTTTGATTTAGATATCCCCAGAAAAAGAAGTCCAGCGGGGTTAGGTCGGGAGAACGCGGCGGCCAAGCTACCGGTCCGTGCCTCCCTATCCACCGTCCAGCGAAATTTTCGTTTAGGAAATTTAGAACATTGCGACCACTATGTGCCGGGGCTCCATCGTGTTGAAAAAACATGTTACGTCGTAAATTTAGAGGCAGATCATCGAGAATTTGGGGAAGATTTTCTTGAAGTAAGTTTAAATAAAGATTTGAATTGAGACGTTGTGGAATTTCAATAGGTCCAATCAGAGTGTCGTGAATTATTCCCGCCCATAAATTTATGGAAAACCGTTGCTGGAAGTTTGTTCTCCGAACAACATGTGGGTTCTCTTCTTCCCAATAATGAGAATTATGAAAATTTAATTTTCCATTTCGGGTAAAAGTAGCTTCGTCACACCACAAAATTTTGGAAGCTTGCTCGTTGTCCAGCGACAAAATCCAGCGACAAAATTGCATACGTGGCGCAAAATCTTCTGGTATCAAGCCATGTACACGTCGATAGTGATAGGCATGTAGACCTTGTCGCTTTAATATTCTTCCAACCTGAAATGTTAGTAGCACATCTAATCAATTCTGTTAAGGAAATCTTTAAGATATGTAGTACCGTTGGCCGAGGAACATTTATTTGCCTTGAAATGTTCCGTATGCTAGTCGTAGGATCTTGTTCAATAGCGTCAAGGACCTCCGCTTCCCTATTAATCCTGGGACGTCCTTGACCCGGTGCCTTTCGAAAAGTGGCGGTTGCAGCTAAGTTGCGGAATACCGTAGGGAATGTCCTCCTTGATGGCAGCCTTCGGTTTGGAAACCTTCTCCCGTACTCGCGTTCTGCCGCTGCAGCATTACCATCGCAAAAGCCATAAATAAATATCATATCAACTAACTCTTGTCCCGTAAACTCTTCCATTTTTTTCGCTTAGAACTATTAAATTGGCAATCGGGTTGACAATACTTTGACATAAGAATACCTTGATAATTTTGTTTAAATTACTATGAAATTGACCAAAGTGGGATTAATTCAAGAGCGATTTTCTCAGAAACCGTTAAAGATAACGATTTGAAACAAGAGTACCTTTTTAACGTAAAACAGTTCGGGAAAACGGAATTTGCTGTCCAATTTGTTAAAAAGTCAAAGATGAAAAAGTTACACACGCAAAGTACCAAGGGCCCCCCCGTACCCACCCCAATGGACCTTGTGGAAATAAATGGATTAGTCCATCAAATTGCTCATCAAAATTTAGCTGTGTATACCAAATTTCATTCATTTATCACAACGCGATTGAGAGATATTGCAAAAAAATGATTTCCATTCCTCCCTCTTCAATGGGTCCCTGTGCCCTTAGAAAGCATTTCCGGACCCATGTTCATATGAACTTTTTTACTTAGTTTTGATCATAGAATCGGCCTGTTCAGGGTTGGCAGCTAATTATGAGACACCCTGTATAAAAACCAAAGTATCTTTGTCCTATAAGTATTTGTATGCAGTCTACTTAAGTGTAACGCTATAAAAGCTATATAAAAAAAAAACAAAATTAAACATTATTTACTCAGTTTACATTTTATTATTTTCTTCCCCATAACTCAACAATACTTAAAAGCTGGACAACAGTCAGGTCACTAACGCAGATATTAGTGACACGAATTTATGGGGAAAGTGCAAAATGCAATTCTTCTGAAGGCAAGCATGGTCAGACAACGGTAGACCTTTTTAACCAAATACAAAATCGTCAATTAAATTTTTTCGCTAAATTTTACAAATCAAATAAAAAAGAATAAGTTAATAATACTAATATTAACTGCATATTTCTACTAAAAATTGGATATTTGTATCAAATATTTACAAAACGATGGGTACATAATTTGTGGCGTTACTGAAAAACCACGGTATACGACAAATCAGTACGATAATAGAATGATTTCTTTGCATGTATTGCAAAGTATTCAAAAATGGCATATTTTTGCCGTTGGTAGTGGAAAAACCTTATTTTAGGCGATAAATTAAAAATAAATGTCCGGATGTCAGCTGACCAAGCCACTAGTCCATTTTTATGACCCGGCCTGGAGCGGAGAACGTCCAGGTCAGGACAGCGAAGTGAGATATGAAGTAGCCAGCTCAGAATGGTATTGTGCACGGAACATTTATTGCCCATTTATAATATATCTTGATGTTTCTTCTACTAGCGGACCAATAAAGAGCGTAATCATAATTGAATTTGGTGCAGCCCATATATCCTACTTATAATTCTGTACAGTCGTTTGTGAGAGATGTATCGCCCGAACACCGAGGCAAACGCAGTGTTTCGGTGTTATGGGGCATTCCGAACAACTGTGAGCTGACTTTTTAGTTAAGGAAATGTTTGATACTTAAACCTTGCCGAAAGACACGCAAAATAAGTAAGAACCTTACTGAGACAAAATAATGTTGAATAACAGCACCTAATCTGCTCTCAAGGGTTGTCCTTTTTCTTGAAATTCTATGATACTTACCTCTAAATCACCCTGTATACGCTTGAAGCGCAATAATATGAATCCTAAAATAAAATAAAACTAAAGCTTTGAAGAATGGTATGTGGGACTAGAATACGATATATCTGTTCATACAGGGTGAGTCGGGAGGATCGCACCCACCTCCATGAATGGATTCTTCTACACGTCAACATACTAAGAATAAATTGCGATTTTCATTTGTTTTAAAGACGGCTTACACTGTAGAAATAAATCATATCACATTGCCTGAGTTAGCATAAATGAGTTAGACGTCATAAATGAATATATTACCTGATTATTAGTGATTCATTGACCATTTATAATGTCATGGGCGGGTGTTACTGTTAATAAAAACGAAAATAAATTATTCAATAAAAATACATTACTCATGTTAAAAATTGATCACCGTAATGGTCGCTGTATACAATATATATTACAATAATTGCCAATAAAGTTCGACAAATATTATTATTGGTTGTCGCACATGCGGAGTTATATTTATTACATTTTATGAAACGAAAAATCGATTGACCATGGTTGCAGTAATAATTCTCTCATACGTATTTTTAAACAACTGGACTAAAAACATAAAAGCACTTACCTCCTTTATCGCCGAAGAAATTAATGTTTAAACAGCTTACCTGTAACAAAGAAATGCTTTTAGTTATTACCAGCATAATACATAAAAATATACTTTAATGAAAATTTACGCTTAAAGTTAGAATTATTATAAAAGTATTCAAGTTGCTAAAACCAAACTTTCGTAACAATTTCGTTAGAGAACAATAACTCGCTGAAACTGCATAAGTTAAATGAGCTTTTGCAGAATGCTAATTTAAAAATAAATTTTAGTAAAACTGTAGCTCTATTTCATTAATATATTTGTCTATAATCTATAATCCGTAGAGTAGTTGTTTCTTTGTCATACTCTACCACTTTAGCTATATTTAAGGTGTAGACATTGAGTAGCAGCGACCATTTATGATGTAATACATTTTTACATCTGACATAATATCTGTAGACAAACATCAGAATAACTAGATCATTTGTCTGTGGCATAATGGTAATGAGAATTAATAAGTTCAAAAGATATG